CCCCCCCCCCCCCCCCCCCCCCCCCCCCCCTCCCCCTCCTCTTCTGATACACAAACAAAAGCCAACTACTCCAATGCACAAAATAATAGTGGCCGCGCCAAAAAGCCGCAGCTGTGCACCACCAAAAATCAAAAGGTCGATAATATTTAATTCAGCAAGAAAAAGCCGCAACGCGCAGCCTGAAGCGTCACGGCCGTGATAAAGCCAACTGAACTGAAACCGATAGTGCGTTCTGTGTACTACTACGGTCGTTGGTGTTGTCGATGGAACTGGAGAACGGGTGTCGCTGTTTAAATGGATTGATAGATACATAGAGAGAGGGACAGAGAGAGAGAGAAAAAGGAGGAGTTTTTAGGGTTTGTGCTACTATTCCTATGTGCCTGCCTCCTATCTATCTAACTCCTTCTCTAGTTCGATGCCCAAAGGGACGCATGTTTCACTTCTTCCCGATGCAGCATTTTCCGTCTCCTTGGCATGATTCTCCTCACTAACCCAGTCATCGTCGCCATAGTTGTCGCCATCACAGCCACTGCCGATATAATCCCACTTTTCTGTCTTTATGCAGCCGCACTTTGATCAGATTTGTTTATGCTTTGTAATAATGCAGGGCGGGAAGAGATGACGGAACCTCATTTTCCGGACCCAAGCACCCACCTGGATACCGTCAGTTAGTATACAGTGGTACCGAGCTCGTCCACCAAACGTCATTCGGGTGTGGACTGCTTAATTTTAGCTTCCTGGACACAGAATCATATTGGTTGATTTCACTTCAAATGCAGTTTTGTGAAATTGACTGAGAACAAAAGCTGGAGCAGTTACCAAGTAAAAAAAAAGTATAACACGTCAACTTCTGCTACTTATGTCGGTTTTAGTACTTTCCTTCCTGTTTCTTTTGACTGGGAAAAGGATTAACTGTTTGCAAAACCATTTATCAAGTATAGGTGTGCTTGTAAAATTTATTGCTCAATAATTATGCAGAGATATGGGAGCGTTTGTAGCCGTTATAACCTTTCACAGTTAGTAATTCTACAAAATCGCAATGGTTTGGTCATTTTGCAGACGAACTGAAAGTAATCATCATAGTTTTCTCCGCAGAAGTTCCCATTATCACTAGTTAGATTTACCGGATTCAATTACTGAATTTAAAGTATTCACTAGAATTTATCTTCCCTTACGACATTTTATATATTCTTCTGACCCAGTCGACGTGAGATTTTATTGCTGTGCTACCACGGACTGTTTTTCTGACAAATGGGTTTGTTGGCATTCATGAGGAGACAGTGGGATTGGAAATACACATTCTAAGAATTGATCCCGCAGGCATAACCAGTGAGGGTTTTTAAGCTATGGCGTAGTGAAGGGCGACAGTGTTTAAGGTTTTTTCCCACTGCAGCTGTTGTACAGCACTCTCGACATGAATGAAGCATCGTATAGACAATTTCCAAGAAATATAACATTTAACAATTTTGTATTACAGAAGCAATTGGCCTAGACGTGACGTATACTGTTATGTATTGGTACTCCCAACTCTTACTGTTAAAATGGTTTTTGCCGGTAAGAATGAGTTGACAAATTCTTCGATTTATTAAACTCTTAGGAACGATCAAGAAAAAGCCCTGACGAAAGAACTTTTAACTAAAGCTTATTAAACAATATACAAACTTCTCCCAAAATGTCATAGTAACAAAAACAACGTTATTATCACGCATTATAAGTTCTGCAGAAATAAGCAAAAACAAAATTTGTAATCCGTTTTCCTATACAAGTCAAAATCACGTTAAAAAACACAAACCTATGAGATCACATGACAACAAATGAAAAATGAGAGAAATTTTAAGGATCTTCACAATCAATGCATTTCAAAAACGGGCGTCATTAAGACCCTTATAACTTTATTACGATATAGTATTTTCTTTTGAATAGTATATCTGATCCGATAGACATCTGGAACTAAATCTGAAGAAATTTAAGCGATCCAAAAACTGAAAACAAAAATGGATCTAACACTACCTGTAACTATTATCAAAAACCAGGGAAACAAGGCCAATTTAGCGTACCATGACGGAGAACATAGAAGAAAGCAATAAAGACAAGTTTCCAATATATACAGCTAATCAAATAACATCATTCACATGATTAAGAACCCTACAAATAGTAATAATTCTGCACGGACTTCATAGTTTCACATCCACCGAATAAAAGCTTTAAAAAAACCAATTTCAATATCACTACAGAACTGAAACTGAATTAAGCAAATTCAATTCATTCAGAAAGAAAGCTCAGGCGGAAAAACGATTAATATTTTAACAACAAAGCTTCCGTGAATTTTGAAACAGATTTAGGCCTTCATTGTGCTAAAAACCAGAACCTAATACTGTATATACCCGTAAAATACCAGTGGAAAGCTTCATCATAAAGTAGAAAGGATAGACACAAGGAAGAAATAAGTAAAAAGCGTAATATACAAATATTAAAAGCATAACCAAAACATGCAGCTTCAAACAGAATCTTCTTCTGCAGTGATCCCACCATAATCTTTATGGTTGCTTGCATGGCTTAGATTACCCATACTCTTTATCAACCGAAGTTGGCTATCAGAAGGTACGGTTTCAATACCGTTCTGGAGTGCTTGCAACTCCTGGTCATTAACTGGCTTTTTTATTAGCCCGTTGGGTTTGCGATTTGATTTACAAACAGGACCCTAAACGGTAAGCAAATAGTTTAACAAACTGAAGACTAATCAATAAAAAGAAAATAACACTAATGTTCTTGGACCGGCCATGGCCGAGAATGCTTAAACATGAACTAACATTTTTCCACGGCGGAATCCCTTCTACGTAATCTGTTTTCGCACTTTCATCCAATCCTCCAGTAGCCGTCTGGTCCAATACTTTGCATCTATCATTACTTTCAACAACAACTTCAGCAAGCTCTCGTTGCGTTACTGGTCGAATCTGACCAGAACGCTTCTTCTTCTTTCTAGTGGCAGAATGGATTCGATCTCCTTGCGTACAAACATTTGTTTTCCCAGAGTCCTTCCTTCTCAATCTTTCTTTATTTCGTTCTTCTGGTTTTGGCACCCATCTTACTGCACTCAGTTCTTGCTCGGCAATCCTCTCCTCTTTTACTTTCTGTTCCGCTTTCCTTAAACGTTCCTCTTTCTCCCGTATAGCATCAGTTTTTTGTTGCTCTTTCACCTTAGCTCTAACAAAATCCTCTTGCTTCTTTTCGGAAGCGACATCTTTATCATGAAACTCTATCTTTTCCGTCTCCGTCGCACCCTTAGCTGTGCTGCATGTAAAAGATACCTGGAAAAATAAGGTTAATTATCAATACGTCCCTTCCTTTAAAGTTTTATTTCACCACAATACTATTTCCTACAAGAAAAATGAAATCCATTACCAAAAAACTAATAAGCAAGAAAACCAAAAAAAAAAGGTGGAGGGTTAATTATTTGATGAGAATTAAAAGTTCTTCTGAATCATCGGCCAATCCATTGCTGAAAAACAATTTTAGTATCCGCTGTTAAGTCAGACCAATCAAGAGAGAAGGGGCAACCACCAGTTTAAAAGAACAATGCGTGAAGGCAAATAAACCTTTCGAACCAAAATCAAACCCATAAGTTTTCAGTCCAACCACATTCATAGAGAACCAAAATCCTTACAAAAAAAAAAAACCAAAAGTTGAACAAAACTTCGCAGGAAATAGTGCGGATTTATTTTAAGCAAATTTATCGAGCTCTCTTTCTAAAGATTTGTGAAGTTACCAATTCGTCAAAAATGAGTTGAGCTTTGAGAAAAACCTCAAAAACATTATAAATTGTCATCACATTAAAACGAATAAATAAGACCAAGAACCACTAAAATCATAATTTCCTAGTCCCTCCAACAATTCGTTTAAATGTAAGAACTTGTTGTTGAATTAACAAATGAAAGGGTACTTTTATAAACTCCGGGTCCTCAACAAAAGGAAGCAATCTGCTCACTATTTGTGCGAAAGATGGCCTACTGTTCGGTTGGAAATGCCAGCAGTCCGTCATGAGATCATACCTGAAAAACCTTCTTGCATTGAATACACACAAACAAATTTTCAAAAAATAACATACACGATCCTCACCAAAAGCTCGGGCAACCCAAAGGCTTTTTATTCACATTACGCTTTTCAACGTAATCAAAAACTAAATCGTTATCAACATGTGGGTATGGCCTTTCACCCAAAGTGAAAATTTCGTATAAAACTATCCCATATGACCTGCAAGTAAACCTGATAAAGTTACCAGCAAAGCGAAAGATGGATAGTTAGTAACAACGAGACTGTTTACAAAGTACTCCCAATTCCACGCAAAAATTTAATCGCTTTAATAAAGAAATTTTCTAGTAAGCCATATTCAACAAATGATACATTTTACATACCAAACATCTGACTTGGATGTGAAAATTCCATCCCTCATAGTTTCTGGCGACATCCACCGAACAGGTAAAGGACGGGCCCCTAAAATAACTCTCTTTTTCAGATGCCGGGATAGTAATACCAGCATGAAGGCGAAAAAATTTTGACGGTATATGTACAGAAGACAATTCCATGTCAGCCGAGCCAATTTCCGCAATCGACACCTCAGATCTTTTTCAAACTTGTACAGATCATACAGCATAAGCAAATTTAGAAAACCGTTCAATTCATTCCTCTAGCGCCGTCTAGGAAAGAAATGCCATTCTTCCAAAGTGGCAAAAAACTGCATTAATTGGTTAAGCGCTTACTTTTAATTAAAAAGTAAAGAATTTTTTGCATGAGTTCTAGAGCCGTTCTGAGAGCCTTCCAGCTCATTTAGCATATCCGTTCCTCTGTTTTGGAGCATTAGACAGGTAGCTCAAGAACTGAACCAAAAACTGGATTAAAAAAATGATTTCTCGGAACCTTCTCGAAAGACACAATTTTTGTAAATTAGATCCTCTACACTTCGATGTAAGATCCATTCACGAAAAAAATGGAAAGACCAGTTAAAACTGAAATCATCTTGTTGGTGCTATATCGGAACATCTATTTCCACTGACAGTATAATTGAGGTCTCAACTTATAAACTCCGAACACTATATTTTGAGGACGGAGTTTTGCAGACGACAAGTGGACATTTGCAATATCTTTTTCCATGAGAATTCAACGACACGTTCTCAGTCTTAATGATCCGTCCGCTTTCGTTCCAGTCTTTATTTCACATTAAACTGTAGTAAACTAAACTCCGTACTAAGTGCGCCTTATAGAAGGAAAATTAGAATAACAAAATTTTGAAGCCCATTTTGAAAAATATTTGTATTCTCAAACGCCGTAATAAAAACAAGAAGGGTAAAGTTCTTAATTTTCAAGATAGGCTTTTTCAAGCAAACTTAAAATACCTTCCTTTGCAAAAACGAGCTAAAGGTATGTGTCTCTAAATCAAATCTCTTTTGGCAATCCGCGCCTACAGTTTGTGTAATTTTTAAAAAAGCAAAAAGTGTCAACCGAAAAGCGTGCGACTCGCTTTAAAACTGCCCAATGCAGATTTTAAGCCTTGAACTTTTTTAACTATTCCGGTTAATAGACTATGGCCACGATTTGAGAGACTAAATAAAGAAAACAAAGAATAAACTTTCACCGGATTGAAGCCCGTCAAAATTCAAAAACTTCCCAGTCTCCTGCACAGTTTTCTTCAGGTTTTGTAAATCGGCCACTTA